AATTGAAGAGGAGGTTATTTTAGTCCATTAAAATTAGTTAGGAGGTTAAATTTCTAATTTTATTATTAAAATGGAGTTGTTGGCAAATTAAAGGGTAAAAATATAATTTCATATGATTTTAGAAGTATGGAAGGGTGTTAATGCACATTTTTAAAACTTCAGGGGTGTCAATATTAAAAAAAGCCATTGACCGTCCTCTGAGTGACGTTGACCAAAATTTCAGAAATGTCAACGTAATTTACCCAAAAAATTTATAGATTTCTACTTTCGTTCTCTCTTTTCTTTATCTCACGTGGCCACGCCTCCTTTCACTCTCTTTTCTCTCCATCGTGTTCTCGGTTCTTATAGTAATGATTTTCATCTATCTTCCCTTCTCTTTCTTCTTTCTCTCTCTTCACATGGTATTCAAATCCGATTTTACATACATTGTACAAAACTCCTCGATCAGCCTCATATGCAGGAGGACTCCATCTTATGATCTAATAAATGTACATTCTCCCTCTTAGGAATATCTATTGTGATGATGTCTCTATTTTCGACCTAACCAATTGAACCACCTTCCTAAAAATATATTTAAGGGTTAAGCGCAAAAAACTCCCTTTATTGCCCCATTATAAATAACTCCCCTAATTTATTGATTTGTTACAATTAAAGACAAATTCATCATAAAAAGACTATTTTACCCATTCTCATTAAAATTTTCATTTCTTATTAAATTATTTTTATTAGTTTTTCTCTTATGTAAATATTAATTATACTATTTACCTTAGTTTTATTATTAGTATCAATTTATCATAAAAATGAAACAAAAAAAATAGATAAATAGATTTGTAACTACTATATTTTAAATTGATTAACTTATTATTAAAATTTTATTATTTATAATAAAACGTATTATAACCAATTTAAAGATTTTTATCGTAAAAAATATCATATTTATTATACAATATATTGATGAAAAATTAATAAAATATTTTTGAAAAAAACACCTTCTTTTCATGTAATATATTCATTAAAAATTAAAAAATTAATTAATTTTTTTTAAAAAAATTATACTAAATTTTTTATTTAAATAAATAATTAAAAAAATTAAAGATAAATTTATGCAAATTTAATGAAAAATATCTGATCAGATTAGTATGATTTTTTTTTTATAATTTATTTAGATAAGAAATATATATTAAATGTAATTCAATAAGAATGAGCATTATAATCATTTAATAAAATATAGTATAGTCATTGGGGTATGTTACAACAAAATGAGATAATTTAGCAAGTTTTATGAACAAAATATTGTTTAAGAGGGTTATTTACAAATTCAAATATAGTACAAGAGATTTATTTTTATTTTTATTTTTATTTTTTGGCACTTTACCCTATATTTAATGCATTCCTCAAAGAATCGTAGAAGCTTATAACATCATTGGAGTTTCCTAAAAAAATATTTAATGCATTCCTCAAAGAACTGTAGTAGCTTATAACATCATTGGAGTTTCCTAAAAAAATATTTAATGCATTCCTCAAAGAACTGTAGAAAGCTTATAACATCATTGGAGTGTTGTTTCTATGAAGTTTATTTTTATATTAATTAAGTTGGATTTGGATTTTGACATTTTGCTATTGGTACAGGATCAAGGAATATGTAAGGAAATCTAATCTCTAATTGAATGTATATTTCTTCAACACAGCGCCATACGGCCTTAAATCTGAATGTCATTATTTTTATTTTTCAATTCAATACACTTAAATTTTATTTTTAATATATTTATTATTCAACTCAATACCATTAAATTTTATTCTCAACACATTTAATTTTTAACTCAACACTTTTAAATCTTATTTTCAACACATCTCAACATTCTTAAATCTTATTCTCAACACATTCATTCTTCAAATCAACACTCTTAAATCTTATTTTCAACCCATTTATTCTTTAACTCAACACCGTTAAATATTGTTCTTACTACATTTATTCTTTATCTCAACGCAATTAAATCTGAATTTTACTACATTTATTCTTTATCTCAATGCAATTAAATCTGAATTTTACCACGTTTATTTTTCAACTAGGTATATGAGTTACCGCATTAATATTTTCTACCATAAAATCTCCGGGCTTTCCACTACAAGCTGCATAGTACTCATGAAACCCATACCCATTAATTAGAAAATTGGCAGCTTCCAAGCTAAGAAAGCACTGGCCTCATAAGTCTACTTTGTTGATTTTAAACATTGAAAATGCCCAAAAAAGCCATGATTTGGAAGTTGAAATCCATTTCCCTCTTGTTTCAATAAATATGACCTCAATACTATAGAAAGGTTGGCTCCCGAGATTTTTAGTTGAGATTTTCGAAAATGACACGACCATATATGAGTTGAACCCTAGACATCAAAATAGTAGCATAATTATTATTATTTTTTTTTGAGTAAATGGTAAGCTTGTATATAAGATTTAAGAATGTAATTGGTGCCCCCAAATAGGAGAAACAACCAAAGAACAAACCAAAAACTAAGGAACAAACAAACATTCCAAAACAGCAACCCCAACTATGAAATACAAAAGGACAATCACACTTATGATCAACAAGATAACTTTCCATCAAATAGTAGTATGAATATTCCAAATTCAGCAAGGGTGTGCCTCCTTTGGTCGTCAGCTTCTACTTCTCTGAAAGGAACCTAAAATGCAGCACTGCCAGAATTTAACTCCTTCCAACATGGTATCCTCTGGTGGTTCGACAAGTACTGAGTCCTCCTTGTAGATGGGTTCGTGAAATTGGAGGTTCCAATCCATGGACGGAGATTGCGCAACTGCAGCCCAGCTTGGTTGATTCTTTTCATTGATGTTACTTGTGGTGGTTGTATTGTTTGGGTGGCAGTTAAAATGATTTGCATGATTTTGGGGTTGTGGTGGGATCTGTTGGGATGGCGAGCTGAGGTTATGAGAGAGATTTGGGTGTGGATCATCCAAGGGCGGAGAAACATGTGGTTGGGCCAACTTGGTACTTTGGTCCATGCTGGTTGGTTCGTGACTATGATAGTTAGGATTCAAAGTGCAAGACAAAGTTGGATTTTGATCTGTCAAAACCTGTGTGCTTTGACTTGAGTGGCCATGCAGGGTTGGTGCATAAAAAGTAGATGAGATCTTGTCTGCTTTTTTTTCCCTCCGTTTCAAATTTGAGTTTGACTTGGGGTCACACATTGCTGATGGAAGGATGAGGTCAGCTATCTCTGCCACGTGGTTGGTCACCTGAACATTGCTGGAAGTGCCGCCCCTAATTCTTCTTCTTTGGCTTTAAGCTGTGATCTCAGTGACGCCACCTCGTTGATAAGATCGAATTTGGAGGCCTCCATAACAGCTGCGTCAATGCCCTCTGGGAGAAGGACGACATCGTTGATCTCAAGCCTCGATGGGTTAAGGAGTCTGTCCTTCTGCAAAGCGAGCCTGACCTTCTCTTTAGTAGCCCCTGTGACTGAAGGTGGACGAGGAAGAAACTGATTCGGATCATTGCTAGCATTTCTTTTGGTTGGAAGAGGTGGTTTGTGTGGTGGTAATGGTGGTTTGGTTGATTGTATTGTTGGTTGTGGTAGTTTAGTTGGGGTGTGGACTGATATGGGAGGAGAGTATGGATGGGCGATTTAGCACTTCGTACTGTACGAAAGGGTGGTTTCAAGTGGTTTGGTGGCCGGCAAGGGGGGATTGGAGGTTTGGATTGGTGGCTGGCAAAGGAGGTGGTAGGAGGCATGGAGGTGGTAGTAGGTATATCACCGTAGCATAATTATTGATATCAGTGGGGGCATAAAAATTTATCTAAGTTTGTCAACATCTCATCTGTATATACTTAGAATGGTTCCACCATATTATATCATATGAGATTCTGAATGCAGAGTATTTAACAAAAAAGTTCATTAAAGATTCAATAGTACATCTTAATAGGAACATTGTAACTTGAGAAAAATAATTGTCAGGAAAACCAAACTAATAAACCAGAACAAGAATTTAGAAGTAAATAGAAAATTTAATGCATATTTTTCATAGATTTTACATTAAGAATGATATGTTTGACTAAGAACGAAGAATAAGTATTGCCTTATTTTTGAAGCCCAAGATGCTCACGAGAGAAAACATCATCTTCGAGTGAGAGTTTGCCACAATGCCCGTGAGACTAATCTTTGATTGCCATGTCTGTTTTTTTCTTTGAACTTAGTCATAATGTTACGAACACACAGCATGCAAAACATAACTTTCAAAAAGACCAAAGTAATTGAATTTAAACTAAAGAACAATAATTGAAAAAGTATGTAGAATATTCAACACATATTTTCCATAGATCACTCAAGTCTAAAAATGACATATTTTCCATAGATCATTTAAGTCTAAAAATGACATGTTTGACTAAGAATGAAGAATAAGGATCTCCAGAAAAATTGCCTTATTTTTGGAGCCCAATGGTGCACACAAGAGAAAACATATTCTTTTAGTGAGACTATCGCAACAGCCATAAGAATATTCTTTGATTGCAACATGTCTTCATTTGAATTAGATTTTATTTATTTATTTATTTATTTTTTAATGTTAACAACCGAGAAGAATTTCAAACGAATTAAAGAACACAACACTGGAGTAGTTATTGAAGTAATAAACTTTATGCGTAATTTAAATTTTATAAAATTTTATGTTTGAATTTGTTATTATTATTACTAATTTATTTTATTTTATTTTAATTTTTTGGTTAGGTTTACAATATATGGTTATTAAGTAATGGACCCACAATCTCAATGAGACTTTCTCAAGTGGAGCCTTAGGCCATTGCCTCAGGCCAATATAGTTGAGCCGCCCCTGTGCTATAGTGACTAAGATATAAAAGTTAGCTTAAGCTAGGATTTTTTTTCTTCAATGTCCAAAATTTTGGGTCAAGCCATGCCATGACTTTATAGAAAAATCTAGTCTAGACAGGGGTTTCTAAATAGAATCGAATGTATTTATTTAGAGGGAAACATTGGGAATCAGCTGTTGATTTTTCTATTACTGTATTGTGCCCCTTCCCATAATTAAGATTATTACAGAAAAAGCAAAAAGCATAGTACAACCTTTATTGATGGGAAAATAACATGAACAATCTAAATATAATACAACAACAACAGGCACAATCTATATATGTCTCTCATTATTATTTTAACACTTAAAGAGAGAGAGAGAGAGAGAATTCTCATATCTTTGCATATTCTACTGTGTCCTTCCCATCATGAGGTTTCTTGAAGAAATGCTTAACATAATCCGAGCAGAGAACTTCCTTATATATTGGTTTCTCCCCGCTCTCGAGCACCTCCGGCAAAGGGCCAATAACATCACCAGGTCTTGGGTTCACAAAGATTGGGATTGAAATCCTGGTGTTGCTTCCATTAGCAATCACGCGGTGCTCAATGCTCTTGTATCGACCATTGCTCATTATCTGTAGTGCATCACCGATGTTGATGACAAGCGATCCATTGACCGGTGGTACATGGATCCAACTTACGTCACCATCCATTTTCCGCACATAGAGCCCACCAATATTGTCTTGAAGGAGGACGGTCAGTGTTGAGACATCTGAGTGACGCCCTATTCCCACTGTTAGCTCAGGGTTGGGACATTTGGGATAGTAGTTTAGGTTGATTCTCTTTGAACCCATCAAAAGGAACTCTTTTGTTTGGTCAATCTCCTTTACATTGAGTCTATTCATCAGTGCCTCCAACAGCCTTCTAATCACAAACTCAGATCTCTTCATGAATTCCAGTGCTTGGTCCCTAAATTCATACAATAGTTAGTATGTGAAAACATTGTATTAACCTATATTCATGTATTAATTAATGCACAAATATTTGCATTGTAAGGGCGGATATGATAGTATGCTGATTGACTGAGGCTAGCTATAACCTTAAATATAGACCAGAATGGAAATATAAGATTCATGTGCGGATCCAAAATAATTGAGAAAAAGCTTGGTTATTGTAATTAGTGGACATATATATATATATATATATATATATATATATATTACCCTCGTAAAAAACTACCAAGACTTGAATTATTGATCTTAAACTTTGGAAGGTTAAGAAGGACCATCCACAGTTGTTGGTAGTGCAAATATAATTAGTTAAGAAGTGCTAAAAGGATACATAAGGAACGATTGAATTGTAAAAACCCAAGAATGATGATATAGAAATATGGTTAATATTTGCATTTATATATGCGTGTATATAAGTGTGTAAATATATCATATATGTATATGTGTGTGTGCTCATGGGTGCTTGTATCTGCATAATTGTCTGTGTATGCATCTATGGCTGTATATATATATATATATATATATATTTTTGGGGGTAAAACTTTGCATGCTTACTTGCATCCAGGAGGCCAGAATGCACTAGCATCATCTTCTGAAACATAGAAGAGGCTAAGGTAATCTTTCCACTCCAAAGCCTTCTCTGCCACAGGACTGAAGCTCGTGCCAAACCGGACGTTGTTGGTAAGGGACTGCCCTTTTGAGTACTTAATCTTCTCCTCTGCAGGCAATCCAAAGAACTCATGAGTCGCCTTCTTCACATCCTCCAGTACCTCAAGTGGAACACCATGATTGACAATTTGAAAGAACCCCCACTTCTCCGCTGCATCACATATCGATTCAGCCACCTTCGGATCATCCCAATTTGACATGTCAATGACTGGTATGGACTCTCCAGATGCTATTTTGATGGTACCAGCCCTTTCTTCAAGAGGTTGAATATATTGCTTGGGTAGGGCACTGAGTCCCATCTCTGCAAGACCCTTCACGCCATAACCTTCTTTCATTACGAAGTTTTTGACATCCGACGAGTCCGAGAGAAGTGTGGACACTACCGGGGCCATTTTTTGGAGTTTTAAAGGAATGAGAGCTTTAAGGTATTTTGCTGAAAGGAGTAGAGAAGGTGATGGTGTAGTTTGTATCCCATGAAAGATATTTATACTTGTATTGTTCCTTGATCGACTTGCAATGTTCATGCCTTCTCAACTGTCCACTTAAGATGCGTTGAATTTTAGACTGATAACAAAACAATTTCTACTTTGATATCGTCATGAGATTTTTAATTCCAGATAATGACTGATTGCTCTGATCCATAGATTGTTTCCACCCCACTCCTTCACTGTCGATCAATGAATGACTTGATGTTGAGAGAACTATTAAATTCCAAAGACAAGTTGGATAGAATAGAAATCGAATGGGAAAACAATTAGTTGAAAGTTATTTTTTTTTTTTATTTATATATTTTTTTTTCAAGAAGCCAATTTCATGCTACGAATAAGGATTGTTTATGCTCTTTATCTAAGAAGGAAAATGTTACATATTACTTAGCATAATAAGATCAAAAGAAAAAAAAAAAAAAAAGGCTAAAATCATAAAATTCCACTACTTTCAATTTTTGATCATCAAATTTCAATTTATTTCTAAAAACCCCGACACTATTACAAAGTTATCACATTACCCCAATTCTGTTATTGAACCAGGATTGCTAAATGACTAAATTACTCTTATGATATACCATTTTATAAAAATAAAAAAAAAAAGGGAAATTTTATTTTAACAAATTATAAAATTACCCTCCTACACAAACCTGAATATTATAATTAGTTCAATTTAAATGAAAAAAAAAAATCTTTTGTAGAATTCAAAATTTGGTAAACAAAAAACTAAATAGGTCAATCATTATTTATTTTATATTTTTGAAAAATTGAATCATTTTCACACTTCAAAAAATTGACTAATTACTACACAATTTAAATATAAAAATTGACAGCTATTAGGATAGCTAATAATTTTTTTCAAATATGTTTAAATGGCAAACTAATATATTTTGGATAACCACTAAATTTTGAATAAAATTCTAATTACAAAAGTTTAATTCTTATTTAGAAAAATGGTATAAATAAAAAAACGATTGATTCAAAACTCAATTGGAAGAAGATTTCTAAAGTTAGATTTATTATATTTTTAAAAAATAAATAAAACAAAAGGTCTCATCTGTGTTTAAAAACGAAATGCATAATTTGATGGTAAAATTTTTAAATATATTTTTTTTAAATATTCTTGAAATGCCTTCCGTCATAAATTATTTAAAATTTTAATTCAAATATTAAAATTCAATCATTTTCGGTGGTTGAGTAAACGGCGACTTCTATATATTATTTAAAATGCTTAGAGGCATTTTTGGAATAACAAAAAAAGTGTAACAACACATGATTGACACATGTTTTTCAGGGATAATTTTGTCACAAAAAATATTTTGCCAATGCAAGTGAGTGAACGCCCCAAACTAACAAAACTAACAAAATTGGAGCAATGTAATAACATTGTAATAGTCTTAATGTTTTTGAAAACATATTGGAATTTTATGATAAAAATTGAAAGTAGTGAAAGTTTTATAATTTTACCCCAAAATAAAATAACAACTCATTATAAAATTGAGACTCTAATATAACTCAATTTGCTCATATATATTTGAGATACTCTTTTCATTAAAGCTTCAAATTATAATTCAGATTAGAAGTTATAATTTTTTTTTATCACGAGGAGTACCTAGTCTTTTTTGGTGAGTAAGAACTCTAATTTTCTGTGTCACCTATGTGTGTGAATAATTAAATAAATACATAATTCACTTAAAATTTCTTATAATTCTATTTTGATTTTTTTTATTCAATGGTAAATTTTAAAGAGACACTCAATGAACAACTTTACCATTCTTTAATAAAAGATAAAAGTAAAGAGAAACAAAAATAGAGGGGAGAAGAGAATATATACAGCAGACGTGTGTATTATAAAAGTAAAGAGAAAGAAAAATAGATAGAAACGAGTTTGATTGTTGTATTCTATATGCACACGTGTACGAAATACCTATATGCTATCTAGGGTTAGGGTTAGGGTTATAGGGCTAGTATATATTAAGCGTAACAGCTCAGTTTTGCAATTGTTGAAAAGAAAATTACTAAATAGCAGTAAGATTTTGGTCCACTGGTAAATTTTCTCCAAATCATTTGAAATGTGGAGGCTTTTTATTTTTATTTTTTCTAACATAATAATGTTAGAATATATTCTAACAAACAATGTGGAGGGTTTCAGTATCAGGTGCACTGAGGACCAAATATAAAAAATGAAAATTGTTAAGCATAAAGTCTTCTAGACATGGTTGGATTTTGTCGCTCAAATTCGTGTGTGAATAGTACTCTGACAAAAGTGAACATGTTCAAATTAATTATTTGAAACTAGTTAAATTTTTTCTTCAACCAGCTAGACATGATGTAACTCCAATTGAACCAATTCAAAAAAATTTTGAACTTGTTGAACGTGAAAGCGGAAGACTACTATCTTATAATTAAAGACTAATATAGTAATTCTTTTTGGGCAAATTTGAGAATATTTGTCCAATAAGAAATTGTGTTCAAAATCTCTATAAATAAAAATGAGTTGAGAGTTTTTGAGAGAGAATAAAGAAAATATATAAGGAGTTTAAAAATGAGTGTTGTAAGAAGAAAAAATATTATATAAAATTCTCAAGTATATAAATATGATTTCAAAAGAGATGATGGGTGAGAAAGACTGCAGTTTTAATATCAAGTTGTATATATTCTCTTGATTTAGTGAAATATCACATTAGAATATTTTCAGCTTAACATGTTGAAATTTTGTTTGTTGAAGTGGCTCAAATTTAGTGGGTTAGTGATGCATTTGCACACGTACGTGTGTGGTAAAGAATGGTTAAAAGAAAAGGTGTGCGTTGAATAACTTGGATGTCTATACAATGATCTATGGAATGATGTATTATGTATACCTGCGGGGGAACTGGCTGCTATGCATAAAGGCTCTATTTGTTTTAATGTAAAAAATTGTCAAATGTAAAAATATATATATATATATGTGTGAGAGTTTAGTAAAATTTAAAGTTAAAGTTGAAATGAATAAGTTATTTTTGTTAAATTTTAATTTTTTTTTATAAATATTTTATGACAACTAAAAAAAAATTACTTTACATTCAAACAAAGGAGCCTGAATGAAAAATGTATCAGAAAGAGTCAAATGACAAAGGCAATTACTTTATGGTAAGATAGGAGTAAAACAACTAAGGGTGAAGAAAAGAGAGAAATTATTGAGGTCAGCCATTAAGGATCACGGTAATCCCAGCTTTCAACACTGCTAGTTCTCCCACCTGTGCCCATTACAGCTTCCGTACAGTCAATACTTTCACTTTTATCCTCCGCGCCTGTGAAAATAGTGTTGACATGAGGTGTAAAAATTATTAGTTAATTTTAGGATAATGTACAGTCACACCCCTTGAAGTTTGGCATAAGGACACTCAAATGAAACTTACCTATTTATTGGACAAAGACACTCCCTGAAAATTAAAAATGGACAAAAACAACCCTTTATATGAGAAATTGACCAAATTACCCTTTAACTGTTTAGGAGACTTTTTCTAACTTTACAATTTAATAAATTGGACCAATCTATCCTCATGAACAATTTATGCATAAAAATAAAAAAAAAACAACTTTGTATTGTTCACTTTTTGTTTGTTTGTTTGTTTGTTTGTTTGTTATTTCCTTTATAAATGCCTAACTTCTTAAAAATGTAGACGTCTAAAATAATTTTTTGATCCACTACATATATTTCAAATAAATTATATTTTGTTATTACTTCTTTACTGGTATCATATTTTTTATTTGAAAGAATTATACTAGTATCATATTAAATTGTAAAGTTAAATTGTATAGTTGAAAGATCCAATACATATATTTCAAATAAACATTTGTCGATACATAAAATTATAATGGTATCATATTTTTTATTTTTAAGGAAAAGAGATTGGTTTAATTTTTTTAGTTGAAAGAATTAAGCATCTTAATTTAAAAATAAAAAAGAAAAAGAAAAGAAGTAATAACAAAATATAATTTATTTGAAATATGTGTATTGAATCAAAAAATTATTTTAGACGTCTACATTTTTAAGAAGTTGAGACATTTATAAAGTAAAAAAAAAAAAAATGTGAACGATATAAAGATTTTTTTTTTTTTTTTTTTTTTTTTTTTTTTTTTTTTTTTTACTGTTTTTCTTATACATAAATTATTCATAAGGGTAGATTGGTCCAATTTATTAAATTGTAAAGTTAAAAAGTCTCCTAAATGGTCAAAGGGTAATTTGGTCAATTTTTCATGTAAAGGGGTGTCTTTGTCCTTTTTGAACCTTCAGGGAGTGTCTTTGTCCAAAAAACAGGTAAGTTTCCTCTGAGTGTCCTTTTGCCAAACCTTAGGGGGTGTGGCTGTACTTTACTCTTAATTTTAATTGTGATTAGCTCCTTTAATGATCTAGATCTAATTATTAGGTCAACTTACTCAATTTATGATTGATTAAAATATCTGATCAATTAATTATCCACAATCATAAATATAAATACTGAAAAGTAAAACAAGTTAGAGTTAGAGATATTGCACCAGGATTTTTTAGCGAGAAAACCCAATTGATAAAATATGTTAACTGTTTGCATAGAAAAAACCTCGTGAACTGTTCAGTTCAAAGTAAACCGATCCACTATGTTTGAAATAAAGTATACTGAACTTTGACTCTAGTTCATACCCTATCGTTCTACCAAACACCAATTGCTGACAATCCTCTGACTTTGCCACTCCCCGTCTAATAGCAACTTGACCTCAGGCTTATGCTCAATATTTGTAGAAGAGTAGCAGGTAGATCAGACAATACTCCTCAAATGCTCCAACCCTTTCAAAATGTGATCACTTTTACTTTTATTCTTCAAGATCTAAACTCGATCTAGAAGAATTAAATCTACTTTTCATCCGGAATATCTGAATCATCAATATAGCTCCAATTCCGATGAGATAGAGAACAACACCACTAAATCACTCAGGAATATGTGTGTGTGCTCTCATAAACAAATTCA